GACCACCCCCCACCTATGTGTGGTGTTCTGCCCCCATGGCTCTCTGGGGAAGACCGCCCCCCCAGGAGACCTCTCAGACCAGCATGTGTGGTGACCACTTTGGCTTTGGGAGGTGGGCGCACTGGTGACCACTGCACAGATTAGCAAGCAGGTTCTGAGGGGGAGGCGCGGGCTGGCCTCCCGGCGTCCCCAGCTAGGAGCTAGAGCTGGGACGCGGGGACAGTCAGGCTTGCAGGGCACTGCTTTGAGGGCATCCCACTTCAGTGGCTCCATCCGGGAGGCCAAGCTAGAGCATTTGTCCCCGTGGCAGCGTGGATGGAGCGGTGTACTAGGCCCCTTGAGAGCTGATCATGGCCCCCAGCCACCATCTCCATCCCGCCCCTGCTGGACCAGGGCTGCCAGTCTCTGGGAGTTTTGGCCCCTGCAGGAATCCTGGGGCTATTTACTTCTTTGAGAGAGAAGTCTTGCACCCACCAGCTATACCTAAGCTCCTCCCACATACCCATCCCAACACCCCCCACCAGCCCCCATACTGGTGAGAAGGACCCTCTGGGTCTTGCAGCCCTCTGTCGGTCTTGGAGCCCTTTCCTTGACCCAAGGCAATTGTGGACTGGACAGACTCAAGGAGGGGGCTGGCCGGTTCTGTGAGGGACGGGAGAGGGCCTACACACCTGTCTCCCTCCGGGGGGTGGCGGGGTGGAGGGTGGGCTCTCAGGAACACCTCACTTCCCTGGGGAGGAGTCATGGGCCCCCAGGCAGAGTGGGGGGCAGGTGGTCATGGACCTGGTTCGGGTCCTGATTTTCCAGTTGGGCTGGTCCTGCCAGGCTGTGGTCAGGACTCATGCCCCTGGGGGGTTGGTGCTTGGCTGGGAAGCATCTGAGGTTCATATGGGGGTGTCCCCACACAGGTCCCAGCACAGCCCTGCTGCCCATCTGCGTGTCTCTAAACCCTGGCCCACTGGCCCTGCCACGTGGTGGGGGCAGACAGCTAAGGGCTGGTGTGGCCGCGGCAGGAGGGCAGAGGCCAGGAGGGCCTCTTGGGGGCAGCAGTGTTTCCTGTCTCAAACACCCGGGGGGCTGGCGTCTTGCCACTCCTGCTCTAACTCACCCAGGGTGAACACTCAGGTCACTGCCAGGGAGTAGGTGCCAGCGCTCGGGGACCCCAGGGGACAGGCTCTGTTGTGTCAGGTGCCATCAGGTGGTGCCAACCCACAGCAGCCCGATCCATGGGGTAGAACTGCCCCTGTGGGTTTCTGAGACTGTAATTCTTGTGGGAGCAGCAGCCCCCCTCTTTCTCCCAAGGAGCGGCTGGTGGTTTCGAACTGCCAACCTTGCGTCTCTCCGTCCAACGCATCAGCTTTCCTCCCCTCCCCAGGGCAATCTGGGCTCACTCGCTCACCCTACGGAGGAGCTGGCACCCCTGTCCTTTCCCAGCGCCGTTCCTCGCCTCACAGGCCCTGGGCAGCATTGGAGCAGCAGTCTCTCATGCGCGCCCCCTGCCCACTGCCTTACAGCTTCTCGCGTGCGCTGGCCAGAGTGCAGCTCCCTCGGCGGGCTCCTGCAGGGCCTGTCCAGGTCAGGCCCGCTTCCCTCCGCCCCGGCCGCTGGGGGCTCCCTAGGAGGAGACAGGGCCACCCTTCTCTCCAGGGTGGGGGCCACGCCTCGGCCACCCAGCCATCACCTGGCGCTGGGTGCTGAGCTCATGTCCACGTTGTGTCTGCCTCGTGTCCACCTTGTGTTGACCTCGTGTTAACCTCGTGTCCACCTCGTTGACCTCGTGTCTGCCTCGTGTCCGCCTAGTGTCGACCTCGTGTCCGCCTCATGTTGACCTCGTGCCCACCTCGTGTCTGCCTTGTGGCTACTGTTAGTTACCCACGTGTGTCTGTGCTCCGCGGTCAGGGCTTTGGGGGGGTGTCCCTAGGCGGGGGTGAGGGGCCCTCGGGTAAAGCGTCTGCGCTGTTGTTTTCAATGGAGGTGAGCAATAGGAAACACCTGTTTACCCAGGTGGCCTAGTGGTTAAGCATTGGTTGGGCTGCCGACTACAAGGTCAGCAGTTTGAAACCAGCAGCCTCTCCGTGGGGGACACAGCGCTTCACGGGGCAGTTCTACCCCGTCCTTACGGGGTCACTGAATCCTTTTGGTGTAGAATGCTCCACCCCCTTGCTTACTGACAGCGCCCCACAGGTGTCTGAAGCTGTCATTCTCTAAGGGACAGGCGCCCCATCTTTCTCAGTCCCAGTAGCTGGTGGCCTTGAAAGGGATCCATCTTGGATCCAAGTGTTTTGCCTGAGGAGGGGGAGTGCTTGTCTGCCCCAGGGAGGGGCTCAGGGGCTGCTTGGGTCCGAGACATGAGGTTCATCCGGCCTCCATGGCCTCAAAAGTTCCAAGTTCCCTGAGGATTTGGAATTCTGTGCCCGCTCTTGATGAGGATTCTTCTGTGGGACCCTTGCTGGCGGCAGTGCCCATGGTGGCGGCTGGGCACCGCCCAGTCCTGGGCTCAGGAGTCCCTTGTTCGGGGAGGTGAACTGGACACAGTGCGGTGTCCTCCACCAGTTCCCAACTCCCCTCCTTCCTTCCGCCGGGCCTCAGCTTGAGAAGAGGAACTGGCCTGTGCCCAGGGCTGGGGAGCTGGGGTGGGGCCGGCAGGGCCCTGGACAGGACCTCACCTCAGCAGTGCTGCCTGCCCACCCCCAAGTCACTCCCAGGGACCTGCTGTCACCCTGGACCCCGGGGTCTCCTCTCTGTCCTGGGGAGCAGTGGGGAGAGACCCCAATGGCTCAAGCAGTGGGGCCTCCTTCCGGGAGTTGGGGCCCCAAGGGGGAGTCCTTCCTGCCCGTGGCGGGGTCTACTTCTGCTTGTGTCTGGAGTGAGGGCCGAGGACTAGCAGACTGGGTGGCCCTGCCTGGGTGGCTCTTGGGGCAGGGCCACGGGAGCACAAAGCCACTTACAGAGGGAGCGTATAGGCCTACGTGTCCTGCACCGGGGCTTGGTGGGACCATGCAGG